TTCTCCACACCCCCAGAAAGCCCCCCACGAACTCCCGACCCCCCCGTCTCTTGACTGCCGCATCCAAAACCTCCCTGCCCCTTCTCCGACCCCCTGGCCCCCTTGTTGTTGGCCTTTCTTCACCTAATGTCTCGGTGAACTTGCTCAAGAACTGCCTGAGCCGCTGGGCAGCAGCGGGGGAGGAGCTCCAGACTGCCGGAGCCGAGCTGCGATGCAGGGAGGGAGGGAGAGAGGGAGGAGGAGGAGCCCTCTCTGGCTGAGTGTCGGAGCCCCATGTAAGTGACACCGTCCGGCCGGCAGCACTGTTAGCCGCGCGTGCTCTGCATGGGGGGGAAGTCCGGACATTTACAAATTCCCCCCGGACGCTATTTTTAGCTTAAAAAGCCGGACATGTCTGGGGGAATCCGGACGAATGGTAACCCTACCTTTTACTAGGGTGTTTACCTCTGTTTGCTGTAACTTTGAACCTAAGGCTAGAGGGGGTTCCTCTGGGCTCTTTAAGTTTGATTACCCTGTAAAGTTATTTTCCATCCTGATTTTACAGAGATGATTTTTACCTTTTTCTTTAATTAAAAGCCTTCTTTTTAAGAACCTGATTGATTTTTCCTTGTTTTTAGATCCAAGGGGGTTGGATCTTGATCCACCAGGAGTTGGTGGGAGAAAGGAGTGAGGATGGTTAATTTCTCCTTGTTTTAAGATCCAAGGGGTTTGGATCTGTATTCACCAGGGAATTGGTGAAGAGTCTCTCAAGGCTACCCAGGGAAGGGAATTAGCTTTGGGAGTGGTGGCAGCGGACCAGAGCTAAGCTGGTAGTTAAGCTTAGAGGTTTTCATGCAGGCCCCCACATCTGTACCCTAAAGTTCAGAGTAGGGAAGGAGCCTTGACAGCTGAGCATCTGGAGAGTGGCGGCGGCTGGTTGGGAACCCAGCTCTGAAGGCAGAGCTGCTGCCAGCAGCAGCGCAGAAGTAAGGATGGCATGGTATGGTATAGCCACTCTTACTTCTGTGCTGCTGCCTGCAGAGCTGGGCCCTCAGTCAGCAGTCGCCACTCTCCAGCCACCCAACTTTGAAGGCAGCAGCACAGAAGTAAGTGTGGCCTGGTATGGTATTGCTACCTTACTTCTGTGCTGCTGCTGGCAGGGTGCTGCCTTTAGAGCTGGGCGCCTGGCCAACAGCCACTGCTCTCCGGCCACCCAGCTCTGAAGGCAGCACAGAAGTAAGGGTTGCAATACTGCTACCCCCAACAAAATAACCTTGCAATACCCCCACAACTCCCTTTTCAGTCAGGACCCCCCCACTTTGAGAAATTCTGGTCTCCTTTGTGAAATCTGTATAGTATAGGGTAAAAGCACAGAAAACACCAGATTTCATGGGGGAGAGACCAGATTTCATGGTCCGTGATGTGTTTTTCATGGCCACAAATTTGGTAAGGCCCGATGTATAGCACAGCCCCAGTGGGGACTCTGGTCACTGTGCTGCAGTGTCAAATCTCTTTGCCTCTGGCCCAATGGCCAGGGCCAGCTCTAGGTTTTTTGCCGCCCCAAGCAAAAGAAATTTTGGCTGCCCCCCACCCCAGCCCTGGGCTCCCCCCTCCCCCACTCCTTGCTGCCCCAGCCCTGGGCTCTCCCCCCCAACCTGCACCCTCCTGCTGTCCCAGCCCTGGGTCACTGATAACTCGCTCCCAGGGCAGGTCATTCAGCAGGAATTTTGGATATGCACAGAACACAGACAGGATTGGTTCCCATATGGTTACAGAAGTACAGTAAAGTGGAACAATTTTCAGCTTGTGTGATTGGAGGATGTCTGGATGCATATTATAAGACTGTCCTACATAAATGAGGAAAAGTTGAGGTGCCTTTATTATTCTTTTGTTCCACTCTTTGTTTCTATAGGGAATTTGCCAATGCAATCACTGTCTTCCTTTTAAACAAATGAAACTAAAAAAAAGAACAATGGCTGTTGAAAATAGCAATTCCAGCCTAAATCACTGGGAAGCATTGCTTGCTCAATTTTATCCTACTTTTTCTACAGCAAGTTACAGTGGATCAGTATATTTGATTTGGGAGAAATGAAGTAACAGCTGCCCAAATTGAGCTTGAGCTCTCCTGAATTTTGAGGGTGTTCAAATCTGGAAGGCAGGTGCTAGATTCCCTTTCTGAATATTAGCTATATCTGGAAAGGAAAAGTCAATTTCTGTTTCCATGGCTCAGAAGTGGAAATCCTCCTACGTGCTGTATCTAAAGCTGCCCAGGTCCTCTAGCAGAGCCTCCCCTCCGTTACTTTTCATTTTAAAGTCTAGTGGAATCCACGTACTTCCCTTGCCCATATGACAGATCACCTCAACACACCACTCCTTCTCCGGCCCAACCCCCCTGGGTCCTCCGCCTCAGTCATGGAGTCCAAAGCTCAATAGCCCTGGGTCCAGACCCTTCCTTATGACCCCCTTGCTCACAGCCAGACAATTATCACTGCCCAAAGGAATGGCCACCCTACCTGGATCCCTGGGGCACTGTCTGGGGGACCCCTCCACCAAGGGGATGCCTGGTGCAATAGCCAGGGGGCCCATCCTCCATGTAAATGACTGGCACTAGGTCCCTCCCTCACATGGATCTCTGGTGCACCCCTCCCCCATGTGGATGCCTGGCAGGCTGCCCTGGGGGGTCCGTCCCCAACATGGTTCCCTGGTGCGCTGGCCCCTGTCTCGCATGGGTCTCTGGCACGCTGCCTCAGGCACCCCCCCTCCCCAACATGGGTATCTGGCATGCTAGCCCCTGTTCCACCTGGGTCCCTGGCGTGCTGCCCCAGGGGCCCCCTCCCACACGGATCTCTAAGTGCGCTGGCCCCTATCCTGCATGGGTCTCTGGCGCGCTGCCCCGGGGGCCCTACCACACATGGGTCCCTGGCATGCTGCCCCAGGGGCCCCCTCCCCCACACAGATCCCTGGTGCGCTGGCCCCTATCCTGCATGGGTCCATGGCGTGCTGCCCCAGGGCCCTACCCCCCATGAAGTCTCTGGTGGACCACGAGGTAGGAGCTGCGGCTGAAGCAGCAGCCGCACTGGGTGCACTGGTAGGGGCGCTCGCCCATGTGGGTGCGCTGGTGCTGGAAGAGGGTGGAGTGGGCACCGAAGCTCTTCCCACAGGCATGGCACTTGTAGGGGCGCTTGCCAGTGTGGATGCGGTGGTGGGTGATGAGGGTGGCATTCTGCGAGAAGCTCTTCCCGCACTCGGTGCAGCGGTAGGGCCGCTCCCCGGTGTGGGTGCGCAGGTGCTGGATGAGGTTGGAGCTGCCGCTGAACTGCTTGCCGCACTCCTCACGTGGGTAGGGCTTCTTGCCCGTGTGCACCCACTGGTGCTTGTGCAGGTCCGAGCTCTCAATGACACACTTGCCGCACTCCCCACACGGGTGAGGCCGCTCGCCCGTGTGGATCCTCTGATGCCGGATCAGCGCCGAGCTCTCGACGAAGCTCTTCGCACACACTGGGCACTGAAAAGCTTGTCCCTCCTCACCTGTGCCCTGTGGCTGGGCATGGCGCGAGTGCCGGGCAAGGCCAGCACGCCACCCCAGCCTCTCCCACTGCTGCAGGATCTGCTGCACAATGAAGTCCTGCAGCTTCTTGACACCTCCTCTCCCATGGCGTCTCTTCCCAGGGTGGGCTCTTGGCAGCTGCTTCGGCCGGTACTGGCCCTTGCAGGCCCCACGCAGGGGAGGGATCCCTTTGGGTTCTGCTGGTGCCAGCCCAGACAGATTGGCCTTCTTGGGAGCCTGCTCCTGATGATTGTCCTCCTTCACTTCCTCCTCAGTCTTGATCCCGTCAGCTGCTAGAAGAAAGAAATCCAGCCATGATGCCCCCTCTGGACGACGGGCATAATAACCCTCTCCCCCTCTGCTTCACTGTCCGCTTATAGTGTGAGCTCTTTGGGGCAAGGATGGACCCTCTCTGTGTGTCTGGGCAGCGCCTGGCACAACGGGGCCCTGATCTCAGCTGAGGTAGGGACGGACCCTCGCTGTGTGTCTGGGCAGTGCCTGGCACAACAGGGCCCTTATCTCAGCTGAGGTAGGGACAGACCCTCTCTGTGTGTCTGAGCAGCGCCTGGCACAACGGGGCCCTGATCTTAGCTGGGGCAGGGACTGTCTTTGGCTGTGTGTCTGGGCAGCACCCAGCAGAATGGTTAGGGTCTCTGTGCCACCATAATACAACATACAAATAATGCTTAATATTCAGCCAGTTGATTGATTCCCTGTGCATGGTGATGGGGCACCTGGCAAAGGAACCTGCCTAAGCGTGTCACTAATAAACCGAGACATCTTGTTTCTAGCCAAGCTGATGAAGCCTCCAGCAAACGCCAGGGATGGCTGAGCTTGTGGACAGGACCTGGCCTGGCACTCAGGAGAGCAACGCTGGCTTCCTGCCTCTGCAACATTCTCCCAGCGTGACCGTGGGCTCCCCAAGTGGCCAAAGGGGTGATGATCCCTGCTATGTGTGCAGGCCGGGAGACTCTCTATGTCACACCCCAGCCAGCAGGGCCCAGAGACTGGCTGGGGTCTCTAGGCACTAGCTCACTACTAACCATTGGTCAGTCTCTGTGCTCAGGAGCGGGGTTCCCAGGCCTTGCTGGGCCTGTAGCCCCCTAGCTGAGTCCTCCCCTTGTGAGGTGTGGGGTGGAGATGGGAACTGGCCCCAGCCCCTTCAGGGTTTGCTCTCCCTGGCCCTGGCAGCCCAGGCTCTCTGGCTCTTGACCTATCTGCAGAGCAGGCTGACGGGGAGGGGATGTACCCACTCCCAAATTGCACGTCCTTAAAATAAAAGCCAGTGATGTCACCTCCCTCCATCCCCAAACCACCCCATGCCCCATGCTCTGCACCTGCCTAGCGACAACCAAGCCCATCACAGGACAGAGCCCAGCTTGGTGCCAGGGGCCAAAGGGGCTGGATTTGGTTCCCAGTTCCCATGCACTGGCCAAGCACCAAGGCAGGGGATGCCCCGTGCTGGCATCACAGCAGCTCCACTCCATTTTCTGACGAGGCAGAAGGGCACATGGGAGAGCTCAGTGTCCCACTGGCCTTGCCCACACCACGCCTGCTCTGCCCGCTGCGGTCCCAGCCTTTCCGACCATCACAGCTAGTCACAGAGCAGGTCTCGCTCACTGCTCACCTCCACAGCCACCACTAGGGGTCTCCATCTCTTCAGGGATGGAGGATCCGGGACAAGCGTCTCAGCCCCTCCTTCCAGCCAGAAGACAGCATCTGGGCCATGGGTGGAAAATCCTGTTCGAGGAAAGAGAGCAGGGGAACTCACAATGTGCCACTGAGAGCTGGTCCCACAGCTGGACACACCCCACAGGGCAGGGCAGGCGGCGGCCCCACAGGGCAGGACAGGAAATTCCCCACAGGCAGGGCAGACCCCGCAGGGCAGGACAGGACAAACCCCACAGGGCAAAGCAGGAAATTCCCCACTGGGCAGGGCAGACCCCGCAGGATGGGACAGCCCCTGCTGGGCAGGGCAGACCCAACAGGGCAGGGCAGGCCCCACAGGGCAGGATGGTGCACTGCAGTCCATAACTCCAGCTGTGCCAGGAACATCGTCACCCAGCCCCAGTGCCAGAGCCGGCTTCCTCCCTTCTCCAGGGACAGGACGAGGACCCAGGTTCCTCCCTCCCCCAACATCGCAGACAGAACAGGGATTGTGACTCCTCACCAGTGTGTCGTGAACTGCCAGCGTGGCGTTCCTCTGCTTGTCCTCCTTCCCGGGCATCTCTTCAGAGGTACACACGACCTCCGCCTTCAAGGTCACTGGGGCCTGGAACAACACGCAACCCTCACTCAGCACCCGCTGCTCCTGGGACCATCTCCCACCCGCTGCCTCCAGGGACCATCTCCTGCCCTGCAGCCGGTCTGGCAGGACCATCCCCAACTCAGCATCCGGTGCCCCGGGACAATGCCCTCCCTGGTTTGTCTTTGCCTCCCCACCTACATTCCCCCCAGACCAGGATACCTGGGGCGGCCACCCAGGCTCCTGGGGAACAAGCTGGAAATCCTCTGCCAGGGCCACGGCCTCCTGGCCACTCTCCGGGCCATGCTCCCGCACCCAGCTCTGCATTTCCTCAGGCAGGAGGCTCAGGAACTGTTCAAGAACCAGCAGCTCCAGCACCTGCTCCTTGGTGCGGGTCTCTGGCTGCAGCCAGCGACGGGAAAGTTCCCAAAGGTGGCCGTAAACCTCCCGTGGCCCCTCTGCCTCCCGATAGTGGAAGCCCCTGAAGCACTGGCGCTGCGTCTCCATGTCGTGGCGGCACAGGACAGTTCCCTTCACTTTGGCACCATCACCAGCTTCCCTGGCCTCCAGGGTGACGTGGGCCTGTTGGTCTTCCCCACCGAGGGGGTGTGTGTCTCAGGCTCCCCCCGGCGCACTGGGCTCCCCTGGCAGGTGTCAGTCACTCGTTTGGTGGTGGCGAGATCGGGCTCAGTCTCCCCCCCTTCCCCATCTCCCCGTGGGGCTGTGGAGGGCAGGGGGCCCGGCAGCCCCTCCCCATGAAGCTCTGGCTTCTCCTGCAAACATAGCTGATTCACCATCTGTTGCAGTCCCTGACACCTGCTGAGTTCATCATTCACCCAGGCCTGCCTCGAGGGAGGGTGGTTCCCCACTGACTGTGGCTCCTCCCTCAGGACAGGCCTGGTTGGCTGGTCTTGCTCCTCCATCTTCAGCTGCTCGGGCAGAGATGCTCCCTGCTCTGTGCGCATCTTCTATCCTGGGCTTGGCTGGAAATCCAGCCCTGGCCTGTGCTCCAGCTCCCTCGGCCCTGTACAGCGGATGATGTCTAGCTCCGCTCCTGAACCTCCGTCCCTAGCACTGACGGGTGTGAGAGGCTGTGGCAGGGGGTCTCCATGCCACGCCACTCTGGCAGACAGCCTGCAGACAAACCAGTCCACAATTTTTTTTGCAGCCAGGCTGAGGTAAGCCCCTCACCCCAAGTGCCAGGCCCTTCCCAAAGTCAGAGGGGGAGACAGCCCCTGCCCTGGGGGGTACCAGAAGAAAGGCAAAGGATAGTATTTGTGGGAGAGGGATGACGTGATAATCAGCATGCACCATGCCCATTCCAAGCAGATCTCAAGGCACTGGGGGTCTGAGCTAGCGGGACGAGGAAGGAGGGTGGTGGCTGGTTCTCCACAGAGGGAGCAAAGGGACGTTCACCAGGCTGCGGGAGCAGAGACTGTATGGTCAAGGCAATGGAGTGGGAGTTCAGGGCTGGACAGGGCAGCGACAGTGGGGGTGTCTGGTGGGGAGGCGGAAGTGGGACAGGGAGCCCACGGAGGGTCCCATCAACAAGCGGGCAGGGGGCCCCTACGATGCATCAACCCCGCCTCCCCCCAGGGCCAGCGTTTCCCGAAGGGGAAGGACGCCTTTGAACCCCAGTAATCAGGCTTGGCTGAGTCAGGCGGGCGGAGCGCCAGCCAGAGCCAGCCGCCGGGGGCAGGGCGCGCAACCCTGGCACATCCCACAGCACCCGGGACCCAGGGCTGCCCTGCAGGGCCAGGTTTGGCACACGGCTCCTTGGCCCAGCTGCCCCTGCAGGGGGCAAGTCCCGTCGCGCTGCGGCGGAGCTCCTGGAGAGATGCGCGCCAGAACCTCTATGCCTCCGGACCCTGCGTCCCCAGCCGGGCACTTCCCCTCCCAGGCTCCAGCTGCTGTGCTCCTCCCCTGACTCAGA